ATTATTTGGTTACTTATTTATTAATTAACATTTCATATTAGTTGTTGTTATTTAAAAAAAAAGTTACTATTCTGAAGCTTTTGGTGTTTTGGTTAGTCGCTTCTCTAGTTTTTTGTGTAGCAGATCATCTCGAGATTAGTCTGCTTTTTGATGTTTTTTCGGTTAGACTATCTCCAGTCGTTGGAAATATACCTAACTATTAGAAACATATTTTACATATATATTCATTTATAATACGCAGGGTATCTCACCCTGTTTTCAGTCACAAAAAAGTTACTGTTCATTAGATACTTTTACTGTTCCGAGAAAAATTATTTTTCGTTATTGTTCATTTAATTCTACTACTACTATTCATTGGATTGATTAGTTAATGTTAATTAAAACTCGAAAAAACAATTTTATTAAAAACATTACTGTTCATTTTATTGAAAATGTTACTGTTCATTTTTAAAAATGTTTACTGTTTATTATTAAAAATAAATAAATTTTACAATTAATGTTTCTATTAATTTAATAAATTGCTAACTAATTTTAACAGTTAATTGTTTTTAACTTATAGTTAATAAGAAGATGCATGTTGCATTGTGTATTGCCTAATGTTAAATATTAAATGATGTTGATCAATATCTGAGCGAACCAAATCAAGAGGTGCATTTTTTCTTTCTATTTTATATGGTGAAATATAACTTAAATCTTCAAATGTAAAGATTCTCTCTTTTAAAAGTAAGAGAGCGATCATATAAGCACTCATGCACCTGATCCCATCATAACTCCGTAGTTAAGCGTGCTTGGGCAAGAATAGTACTAGGATAGGTGACCTCTAAGAGATTGTTAGAAATTTATCAATTTTAAAGGTTATAGCATGCAGATAAATCCGAATAAAATAAATAATTAAATAAATAATATAAGTTAAAAAATATTAGGCCTGACAGGAAGCAGTCGTGTAATCACTGCCCTAAAAGATTGATGACCCGTCTATTGCTCTGGCGCAGATGATCCTCTCCCCCCTAGCGGTAAAAGCCCTCGAAAACGACCGGCCTCTGTACTCGGGCGAGAGTACAGCTTCAGCTCAGATGAAGAAGATTGCCTATAAAAATAATAACAAAAATTTGAGATGAGAAAAACAATTTCTTTTAAAATCGGAGGAGAGAAGAAAGCTTTGTCTTATATCTTTTGAGCTCAACATATGGCTGTTTATATCGGGGTTGGAAAGAGCCGTTACAAAAACCTGCAACTAATACGGTAATGTTCGCCTTAAATTTCTGTAACATTCCCCATAATGTATAGTTGTTACGTTCATTTTTAATTGCTAATTAAATATGTTTTGATTACAAAATTTATTACTATTCATGAAGTCAAAATTACTTTTTCTCAATAAAATATCCAACAGCCCCCCCAAAAGGAATTATTGACTAAAAACTCAAAATCAATAGATAAATCAATAAATCACAAAACAAATATAGGTTGGGCTAACCCCTAGAAACCCTCATGAATCGGTTATTGTGAGCATGACCTTTAACGCTCAACCTGTTTTGCTCAATAGATGAAGATGTATTATGAGTGTTTTCGTTAATATCTGGTTCAGGGGCCTAATTCAAGGTTTACTCCATTATGTCCCTCAAATGGCGATAAACTCACTAAGAAAAGGTTCAAAGCTGGAAGCTACCTCTCCCGAATTCACGATACCAAAGGTTGCCCAACCTATATTTGTTTTGTGATTTATTGATTTTCTAGATTGTTTGAAATTACCAACATTAAAGGTTATAGCATGCAGATAAATCTGAATAAAATAAATAATTAATCTGAAATAAATAATATAAGTTAAAAAAATATTAGGCCTGACGGGAAGTAGTCGTGTAATCACTACCCTAGAAGATTAAGGACCCGCCTATCATCCTGACGCAGATGATCCTCTTCTCCCTAATGGTAAACCCCCCAAAAACGGCCAGTCTCTATACTCGGGCGAGAGTACAGAACTTCAGCTCAAATGAAAAAGATTATCAATAAAAATAATAACAAAATTTTGAGATGGGAAAAAAAATTATTTTTCGTTACTGTTCATTTAATCCTATTACTACTGTTCATTATTAAAAATAAATAAATTTTGCAGTTAATGTTTCTATTAATTTTACTGTTTTGGGATTGTTGGATATTTTATTGAGAAAAGATAATTTTACCTTCGTGAATAGTAATAAATTTTGTAATCAAAACATGTTTTAGTTAGCAATTAAAAATGTGCATAACAGCTATACATTATGGGGAACGTTACGAAAATTTATGGCGAACGTTACCGTATTAATTGCAGGTTTTTGTAACGGCTCTTTCCAACCCCTATATTAACAGTCATATGTTGAGCTCAAAAAATATAAGACAAAGCTTGGGGCCTAATTCAAGGCTTAGTCCATTATGTCCCTCAGGTGGCGATGAACTCACTAAGGAAAGGTTCAATGTTGGATATTTTATTAAGAAAATGTAATTTTGCCTTCATGAATAGTAATAAATTTTGTAATCAAAACATGTTTTAATTATCAATTAAAAATGAGCGTAACAGTTATACATTATGGGGAACGTTACGGAAATTTATGGCGAACGTTATCGTATTAATTACAGTTTTTGTAACGGCTCTTTCCAACCCCTATATAAACAGCCGTATGTTGAGTTCAAAAGATATAAGACAAAGCTTTCTTCTCTCCTCTGGTTTTAAAAGAAATTGTTTTTCCCATCTCAAATTTTTGTTATTATTTTTATGGGCAATCTTCTTCATCTGAGCTGAAACTCTATACTCTCACCCGAGTACAGAGGTCGGTCATTTTCTGGGGGCTTTTACCGCTAGGGGGGAGAGGGTCATCTGCGCCAGGGCGATAGGTGGGTCCTTAATCTTCTAGGGCAGTGATTACATGACTGCTTCCCGTCAGACCTAATATTTTTTAACTTATATTATTTATTTCGGATTAATTGTTTATTTTATTCGGATTTATCTGCATGCTATAACCTTTAAAATTGGTAAATTTCTATTTCGGATTAATTGTTTATTTTATTCGGATTTATCTGCATGCTATAACCTTTAAAATTGGTAAATTTCCAACATTTTCCTCAAATGATCAGGTTGGTAATCTCGGAAACGAATTTAAGCTCACTGAAGCTCATCATATTGTCAATGGTAGGCACCATCTTGATGGCAAAACTTTTAGCGTATTTGTAGCACGCTGAGATGATATCCAAAGACTCAGCAGAGGTTGTACCGTGGTTAATTGTATGTGAGAAGTTTCCGACATTGTTTGCTCCTCTGGTTAATTCATCAAGTCTTCACTCATGATAGATTATGTAATATGAGGACAGTTACATGTAATGCATGTGCCTTGTGTGATATATTCCCTCAAATCACAATTATTTTTCTTTGAATGTCAATATTCCATGGATGTGAGGAATATGTCAGTTAGCTTGCTTTCAAGAGGAGAAGTTGTTCTTGGGGTCAGTTATCAAATTTGTATCCCCAAAATTAGGGGAAGAGGTGTTTCCCTGATGAAGTGAAAAGGTTGGCATTGACAGCAACAGTTTACAGCATATCAATTTAAAGAAATGTCGGGCTTCATACAAAGTCCTGATCCACATAACTCTATATCATTGCAGAGTGCATGTTCAATTTAGATTCTAGGCTCAGAAGTTTTAAATCAAGCAGGTTGATAGTTATACAGGGTGTGAATTTACCTTGAGATATTTGTTATACTGGATTTTTGCCAAGATTTTGAATGTTTCATTTTGTATCTGTCAATGTTGTGGTAGACTTGAGATGAACTAAACTCAGGTATGCCTGAGTATGCTCTGTAATTCTCAACTGATTTAATGAAGTTCACTAGCCAAAAAGGAAAAAATAAAAAAGAAAGAGACCTCTTTAAAAATTTATAGAAATCTAATCTTTAAGAGATTCAGTCTACCTCAAAGGATAGTATTATGATCAAATTTCAATATTGAGAAGATGCAAGTCCACCATAACTTCTTACCCTTATAAACAGTAGTAAACAGAGCATTAAAAGTTTCCGAGTGTTCATTTGAGTTTAATTACTTTCTATAATGCAACTTTTCCTCTCAATTACTTAATAATAATAATAATAATAACCTGTCAAGAGAAGACATCATAAGCTAATATAGAAGCTCTTAATGTTCTTACCTGGTATCCTGCAGTAACACTAAACTCTAAAGTTCCAACAATTCATCTACTGTTTTTGATTTTTTCCCCCTTGACAATAGACTTGAAAAGATTATTACAGGACTAGATGGAAGTTTGTCTCTTTCGTATGGAAGTAGTAGTGTTGAATATGTCAGGCAGATTTAGTGAAGATGTTACATTCATGTTAAAAATTACAATGTTAGCAAAATAATAGTTTGTTTACAAATAGAATGTTTCTCTTTTCAGTGTTCAATATTTTCTAGCTAGGGATTTACAACAATTTTGGGTTTTCTTGAGATTTCTGAAGTGCTTGAGTTTGATAGGATGTAAAATTTCATACTAGAGGGTGATCTACTAATGTTAATTTGCGTTGCTATAAACGCCATGCTACACGAGTGCACCTAACATGATATTTGTAAGGTTAGCTATACACTCCATCATCATTGTATTTACATATCTTACTAAAAACAAAATTTCTGCCTATTCACTTCCCAATCTCATACAGTGAAATACATTCATGAAAATTATATTAGGATCAAAAACAACCTTCGAATGTTAATTGTTTAGAAAACCTCTCCCTGTTTCTGTTTCATTTCTTTAGATTAATCTATTAATTTCGCTTGTCATTGCCGTCCCTATCTGCCTAATATTTCCTCATATGAGATTAAACACTTTACTAAAACCACCATTTCTGAAACATTGAACAAAGACAAAGTCGAAAAGGATTCACTGGATACACTTGGAATTTCTTATAATATAACAAACGTCAATCCATGGACCTCAATAGTTCAATCTTCTCTCGCTCCATCAATCGACATTTTCCTTCATCAACATGAGCGATATTGGTGGTCGAGTTCCCACTGATTCTAAAGCAAAAACATCATCGCCACATGCAAGGCATGTATGTTCATTTTGTCAACGATGTTTTCCAACCTTGCAAGCCTTAGGAGGTCATCAGACTGCTCATCGCAAGGAGATAGAGGTGATGAGGCGTGAACACAAGGCTATTGTGGAGTCAGAAAAGGTCGATAGTACTGGGCCTGCGCTTGTGACGTTGGATTTGCTCGATCGTTGTGAAGGTAAGGCTTCTCCTAGCTCAGGTTTTGATCAAGTTCAAGATGAGGACAATGGCGGTTTGAACCTTGATCTCACCCTGAAGCTATAAGGATATGACTCTTAGTGTCATATTTCTCCTAGCTAGTGTCAACTTGAGTTCAAAGTCAGATAAGCCCCTAACATTAACCTAGCATTTCTAAAAAGTTCTTAACCTAATATTTTTAACTCATTATGCCCTTATAGTTATTATTCTGATCACCCGTGATATTTTTCCGCCATAAATAAAGTAAAAAAAAAAACTATTCTGTTGAGGGTAACTAAAGTGGAAAACAAACAACTACTATGAGAACTCAATAGACTGAAACTACCAACTATAAGGGCAATGAGTTAAAAGTATTAGGCTAAAAGTTTCTTTGAAATGTCTGGTAAACGTTAGAGGCGCCGAGTTTGCTTATTTGTGTCATTTTGTTTCCTTCTTCGAAAGGAGAATATTAACTGTTGTATTCAGTGCAAATGCAAGGACTATCATGTTATGTTGATTTTGTGTTCAATAAATAGTTAAATGATGATACATTTGTTTCAATTTATTTACTTATTGTGAGAGCGATGTATGCATAACATCCACATGTTGAAGCCGATCTATTTATCGAAAAGTGGTGAAATGATCAGTAAATTAATTAGTTTTTTCTTTTATTTTTTCTCTTTTATTTAATTTCTATAAAATTAAAAGGAATAGT